TCTTTCCTTTGTACCTTCTATTGTAAAATGAGCGTCAGTGGTCCTAGGTTTATTGTAAGATCTTTGGTACCTTCTCCTTGTCTTGCCCTAATCCAGGCTCCACTCCTAGCTGTGTAATCATTGTGAGCAGGAATATATTACAACTTCTAGACAGGTGATAGAAAATGTTATGCCTGATGTTATCTCCTTCTTGGGCTAGTATGGAGCCAGATGAGTCTCACTTAGATTAGCACTTTGGTGAACAGCAAATACAACAGAAAACGTTCACGTCCGCTTAGTTCTCTCTTTAGTTTAGTCCTTCCTGCTCAGGTCTGTCCTAATAAAACTACATCAGGAAGGAAAAATTTTTCCCAGCTTGTGCACAGTGGGCCTCAGCTGTAAGATGCTTTTAACTGAAGGTTTTCTGATAGCCAAAATATTAGACAAATCCATCACACGTGGAAACCTTCTTGCTATGCAGCTTGCACACTGAACAAGTAAAAGCCACTGTCTAGATGGCAGTCAGGACTCCAGCAGAGTGCACATGTGTTTAATAACATGTACAATTTGTGAGTGTCTTTTATTGTACTGGACAGTGTACTGATATTGTAAAGAATAATGCAGTTTAATTCTCTTGGTATATTGGATAAACAGTTTTTATATAATGCAGTATGTAAGCCATATGTATGTATGCTGTTTTGATTTCCACTTAATGTCTAAAGCTATCTTACTCAATGTACACAAGGATTTATTACTTATGAGCTTAATAAGCAGGCAAACAATAGTTTTACCTTGAAAAGCAGATTACATTTACTAAGACTTGAAATTCTCCTGATAAATAATCAGAAACAGAGGATCATTTCTGTTGGTTCCTTTTGAGGAGCTGTTTTGAATACTGGTGTGTAAGCCATGGAGGAGGGGTATATTTCTCAATGATATTGCCCTTGGGATTGTTTTAGCTGAGGAAAAGAGCTTAAGCTGATACTTCACATTTTTCTCGACAATGTTCAGAAAGCTGCATAAAAGCTCATTTCATTATGGTATATGGAAATAGATTTCAAATAAGTGGTTAAAATGAGAGAAAGAGAAAATCTTCTTTTGTCATTTAGACATATGAGCAGCAATTTTTGTTCTCTTTGGTATAATGTCCTGGTACTTAATCATCAAGAATAAATTACCTTCCTTCAACTATTCTAATTTCCCACCTCTAGTTTCTGCTTTTTGGTTTGTGTCACAGCTGTGAAAAATGTGTAAGAACAGCATTCTGGTTGGTGCTCAAAGTGATAATATATGTAGACTGTGATTTCAGCAATTAATTTCCTAGTTCTGAGTCACCTGGTGATTTTGTGATTCATAATTTTGTATCACCTGAGCTCTTCACATGTCAAACTAAGTTACCAGATGTTAAACTCTAGGTATGTACTAAGTGCTTTCCTGACTCCTTATCTCAAGTATATCACCTTCAAGAGTGACAGCTGTATTATTTTATCAATATTATGGGAAGAAAGTAGTTGAAAAGAGAAAGCACTTCTGATAATCTCAAGTTTGGACAGTTCCTTAAAGGTTCTTTAAAATTGAACCAAGAATTTTACTTTACCACAGTAACCTCTATAATGTTTATAATGTGAACATGGAATTGAGGTGATGATATTTATGTGGTGTAGCAGTTCTGAAGGAGGTTGACTGCTCCATTTTAGATCAAACAAAGCTGCTTTTGTCTCTGTGAACATGTGCCTGGCCTACCTCTGAAATACTTTAGCCATTTTTATGTATTTCACCTAAACTAATATTTGAGCTAGATTTCAGACATCACTACTGCAATAACTGATAAGAGTTTGGCTTGGTGAAACAAGCCGAATGAAAACTAAGAAGAGATGTGATATTTTCTATTTAAAACACTAAAATTGTAAATACTGGAGAAAAGAACTAAAAAAAAAAAACCAAACAGTAAAAACAATAACAGATATACCTGGGCTGTAAATAGAAATACAGACTACTTCAGAAGCAAGTTCTGAAAGAAAAAGAAATATAAACTAGTTTCAAGGTAAATCTTGATTAGTTCTTGAAATTATTGCATCAAATGTTTTTTAGTAGAAAGCTAGAACCCAAGACACACAGTGCTTTTTCTCCAGTATATGATGCTGTTTAATAGATAAGTTATGACAACTTTAATGTATGGAAAGTTTATTTTTCAGGAAATAACAAAGTAAGTTTGAAATGTTATTGTTTGAAGTAGGTTTATTAGTTCTGATATGCTAGTTCTAATATATTCCTATTTACTAGGAAATGTATATAATAAATATCAGACTTCAAACTCTGATTTTAATATTAAGCTATAGTTGTGTTGAACTTTAACTGGATTTATAGAACATATTCAAACCTAATGTCGTTTTCTGGTGCTTTCCTGTTGATATCAGTGATTTGTAATATAATAATTTCTTTTTAATGTTACTGCTGACTCCAATGCACATATTTTCATTTCAGACTCTGTCTTTAACTATGGCAAATGTAATAGGTAAGAATCCAGTGGATCACTATTAGATAAGCTTTTTAAAAAAATCTAAAAGCTCGATAGAAAGAAGTGAGAAAAAAAATGAGGAATGGGAATAGAGGATGACCTCAGTTCACAGGCTAATGCTAGTTAAGGGACTCAAGAAAAAGACAGGGATCAAATCTGCAGATATATAACATCATTCCAACCTTACATTCTGTGGTCTTTCACTATTCTTCAAATAAATTTATTTCATTTTAGAGTAAAATTCGAAAATTACCAGGAGAAATAAATAAGCAGGTGTTTGGGTTTTTTTCCCTTTTTCTTTAGTAGAGTTTATGAAACACATTACACTACTTTCTGGTGTCCTAAAATACAAAGTACTTAATGATGTGAGCTTTTCCAGTGTGGACCACAAATACTAATTAATACTATTAATATTAATTAAAAAAATACTTTGTCCCAACCTTGAAAGTCAGGCCTCTTTCAATAAACACTTAAAATTCCACATTCAGATGTATTATCTACTATTATCTACTTTGGCCCACAAGATCCAGCCCTGAATACACCTTGAAAGTGACTTTTATCTTTTATTTCCTTCTAGCTGCCATCTTATTCATTATAGTCTGTCTCCTTGTGGTTGTTCTTTTTCTGCAACTTGTCTAGCAGTTTGGTAAGCTGACCAGAATGCTAAATTCAGGAAAAATATTCTGAGCACGAGAATAATTCCTCCATTTATGTAGGTACACAGAAGGCAGGGTAGGAAACAATAAGTTTCACGTCAACCCCTTTTTGAATCCAAGATCTTCAAGAGGATTTCTAGCTAAAAGATAAATGACTAGAAAGTGTTTAGAGGACTTCAGGAACACAGCCTCAGAGTTAAATAATGTTATACTGAACATTCATCCCTAGACAAAATGTTTTAAGCAGAGGAACCTTCCAGAATTTTTCAAATCGGAAACACTCATTAAATAATTCTGATACCTTTTACAGATAAAGTTGAACAGCACATCTGCTATATATCCCCATTCATTCAGTCGGGTCCTAGCTCTTGCTGCTCTTCCTAATCCACAAAAAAATAACTTTTTTTGTCTTGATGATTAATCAGCGACTGGAGAGGAATGAAGAGAGAGTCTATTGGTTGAATCCTTGGCAATGTTTTTGTATTGTGTTGAACACATTAAAAATGTCATAAATATCCAATGGCTTGCTTTATTTTTTTGCTTTTTTCTATCAAGTGGAAATAATAATGGCTGTGACAGATCAACAGGGAGCAAGAAGAAGTGAGACTGTCACAACAAAAAGTCATAGTTAATTTAGGATTTCTGGGGGAGTTCATGTGGTTGTCTGACTTCCACAGGGATTCTTTGGTGCTATCAGCTTTCTTTTCCTTTCCAAAATGGTCTACCATAGCATGGATATTTCCACATACAATTATATCTAAAGGATTATCTACTGATTTCTAAATCCGATTACTGAGTTATCCAAGTTGACCTTTTTTAGCACTACAGAAACACTTTTCAGTTTTCATTATTGTTTTCAGAAGAACAACTAAGACAGGCAGGCTTGATTTTAACAGCATTAGAAACTGGGAATTCCTGTGTGCTCTCATGCTAATTTTTCTATAGCCATATTCACCTATCTTGTTTTTTCAGTGCTCATTTTTAGCTTAAGAGATTTTAGAATAATAGTATTTAGTAGCACTAAATCTCGTTCTGAATTAGGATGTATACTCTCAACTGCCTGGCCACATGCACCATAAGTCTGTTGGTATGACCCTGGCCATTTCTGAATTGCCCATCCATGTCCATATGCAAGCCTACAGGTACTTTACACTTGTTGCAGGAAAAAACAAGCATGGGGGCTGGTCTCTGGCTACAGAAATAATTAACTCAGCCTGTTCCTGATGGCCCTTTTCCCAGGCTCTATTAGTAGATACTGACAGCTGTCTGCTTTTAACAATCATCTTTTCCATGACCTCCTCCAAGATGTAAAGTACATCAGGTAAAGATAAAATATCATAACTTTCAAGGTATTGCTAAAGCTGAAGATCATGTTCCTTTTTCATAGAATTGAACATATGCCCTAGAAGATGAAAAAATGGCCTCCAACAAGTTGACTGGAATTTATTCTTTTCTTAGTTCTGTAAACATTGCAAACCACTTAACTCTCCTGATAATAATATCACTAAAATTCCTCAACAGAATTATTTTCAAGGAAATCACTGTAGATCATTTATTACTGTGCATAATGTGTGTGCTATAGGTATAATGTTTGACAAGAAAACTCATATTTCTAAATGCTTTGAGACTGACGATGGGATTAATTGTTTTAGCAGGTTAACTTACAGATTTTTTAAAATTAAGCTGACATAATTTATATGTAGTATTTCAATAGCATACACCGTTTATGTACTGTATCTATATACCACTGAAGCAATTTCCATGATGCAACATTCTTTTCTGGTGGCTGAGCTCAACAGCTGCTTTATTTTTCCTGCTATAAATTTATTTTTTTTTTTGCCTTTTAGGATTTGATACCAGCATTTTGCCAATTTGCAAAGACTCCCTTGGCTGGATGTTTAACAGGCTTGATACAAACTATGACCTGTTGCTGGACCAGTCAGAACTTGGAAGCATTTACCTTGACAAGAATGAGCCGTGCACTAGGGCGTTCTTCAATTCTTGTGACACATACAAGGACAGTTTGATATCTAACAATGAGTGGTGCTACTGCTTCCAAAGACAGCAAGGTAAAAAGATGAAAACAACCTGCATATGTATATGACTGACTCTTTTGTAGTGCTTTACCATTTTTAACATATTAAGAAGATTACAGTGAACTACAAGCTCTTAAATCCTGTACCATGAATTTGTTTTGAGGTTTCTGACCTATTGAAGATACATAAAATGAAGTAAAAAAAGCCAACCCCAAACAACCAACCCAAGCTAAATGGAAAGGCGTGCTAGAAATTCAAGGATTATAAATAAAGTGCAAAACAGTGGCTAATGCTTTTACAGAAATATTGTTTCTCATGTCAACTTCTAGTAATTATGCAGAGGAACAAGACCAAAATAAAGAACAAATGTTTACTTCTTTCCCAATCTACTTTGCCTACATTATAAAATAAACTTTTCTATTGCTGAAGTAGGGCATCTTAATGTTCTTTTTGGTAAGCCTATTAAAATAACAACGAACATTATAAATAAAGATAGATATAGATATTTGGACTGAAAACCAGTTGATTTTTACTGCCTAGATGAGTCTCTTGTTAATGTCCTGTTGTGATTTGGTTAAACAAATAAACACAGCCTATAAGCATTATTTTCCTGGGGATCATACAACAATTTTAGATCTAGGTGAGGCATCACATAGATTATATAATCAAACTAGCTGTAATGAATCAAAGAATTTACTTGTTAAATATTGGCTGAAGCTGGATGGAATTGCCCCTTCATTTTTCTTATGTACATAGGGAGATTTTCAAAGGGATAAATAGCAGCCAGAGTCCAAATTTCTACTGCCAGTGAAGGAGATAAGGTTGATTTGCTGGAAAGTTGGCAAAATCAGTTCAGCCTTTTTGAAAATTTTAATATCAGTTTTAAAATCTCACTTGTGACCTTAAAACTCTCATAATTACCCATTAGCACTCAGCATCTATGGTTTGACTCTGATTTCTGTGGAAATAAAGATTTTTATCATGCCCCATCTGCCAGTTGTAAATCCGAACAAAATTAAAGCTGTACTTCTATAGATGCAGACTTTTTTCTTTGATAACTTTGTAGTTAAAAAATCAACATTTCATTTTCCAAAACACCTTGTTTGTTTTATAGCAGAATATATTCTGGCTTTTTTTTAATAAGCATGTAAGCCAACAAATATAGTAAATGAAAAATAATCCATCTCAGAAGTGGTTCTTAAAGTAAATAAAATAACATGTTTTGTTTGGTTGTCTCTAAAATAAAAAAACCAACACCACCACAATAATTTCATCTTAATATGTAAACACCTTTACTCTTTAGAGGGCAGCATATTTCTTTTCAGTTGTCAGCGAAAGTACGATACATAACATGTGTCCTAGTATGGTCCAAGGTGACCAATTGACTCTTATACAAATCTCATATAATGCATGTACTGCATCACCGGGGCATTAAGAAAGCACTTCCACAGAATAGTTTCAAGTAGTTTTGCATTCTGTAGCCTATAAATACTGTTTGTCTAAAATATTTGCTCAGTGTACCACTAGAACCCAAGGACAGTATCATACGTACTGATGTAAGCACTACTGAATTATATTAATGGTACTCCAAAGGCTAAAAATCTGGGATCTGGCTTTCAGTGACAGTGATTCTCCCATTGCAGAATCCAAAATTATCAACCTTTTCTTTCCTTTTTACCAGTTTCCTCACCATCTTGACCATGGCATTGTGATAAGGTGCTGATTTAAAACAAATTAGATGGCTTTTGATGCCACAGTGTGTTTGGGCATATAGTTAAAAAGGTAAATCTTCAACATTGTAAATTAGGTGAAATCTCAGTTGTGACAGTCTTGCGCATTAAATATACACTTCATCCCTCAAAATTAACTGTCAACAAAATCTATATTCTCCTTTTTTGAAGGTGTAAGGAGAAAAAAAAATCTTATAGTCGTCTTTTGTGACATCTTATTATCAGCTCTTGCACAGCCATCTGAGTCCTAACTCCCTAGTGTATTAATGACCCACTGAATCCTCTATTCATAATTTGCAGTGTTGTGCTAAACTTTGCAATATGTTCATGTTTGGTTATGTTTTACTTGATTGAACACTCTAAATAAGACCTTTAACTAGACCTTTGCTATTAATAACAAAGAGAGGGCTAGGTAATTCAGTGGCTTCTTTCTGATGTTTACTAAAATAAATTGTTATTACCAGAATGCTTCAAGCCATGTAGACAGCTCTCTGTATTCATTGACCTTAGTAGATGCTTTCTGGGTAGATCTACAGTTAACTGCACTACGGTGGATTAACGATGTTCAAAGTGAATACAGAATTTAGTCAACAATATATATCACACTGGGATAGAAATTCCTTTGTGCTTTTTAAAAAATCTAGTATTTGCTTGAGTCATCATTTGAGAAGCCCTCTTGTTCTTTGATCTTAGCATCACAGTTCAAGACTGTCAGGATCAGGCAAGTACTTGCAACTCTCTTTCTGCCTGAAGTCTTTCATAATGCATTACAGTACACTAGACCCATTACTGCACATTACTTCTAGTCAATATAAGCAACTTCTTATGAATACTTAAGTCAGATCTTTCTTGCTTAGAAGATCTTTCTGTAGTAGCTGTCCTGCCTTGCCTACACTCATGTACAATCATGTACAGCTCAGTGGTGCTTATTGGATTTTTTCTTGGCCATATTCTGCTTTAAGTGTAGTTCAGTATTTCTGAGATACATCCAAGACACTATAATGCATTTCTGCAGTACTTCAAAATCTGCACTTTGCCAGCGTTCTTTGCAAGTCCTTCTGTATGCTTTGGTTGCTATTACCCTCTGGTTTCAGCTGCAATTCATGCAGGTGCTTCAGTGCCTATCTTCAGGACAGATTTTCTTAGTCATTTGATGCTAGCTTAACACTTTAGTGCTAATCTAAATGCTGATGCACTTGCAGTGTTGTCCTTTTTATAGGTTGAATTTCTTTCTGCCAGTACTTCATCATTATTATAGCCTTGTTTTTGTTGCATCACTGCTTCTGAGTGGGAGAGTACCCTATTTTGCTGGGAATATTAATGCTTAGCATCTAAGTATTTCTTTACTGAGGCCTTTGCAGAGATCTGTTAGTCCAGCACTGCTCTAGATGCCATTTTCTTCTACCAGACTCTTCTGTCTGTCAAGGCTAGAAGACTTCTTTATGACTTTATAACTAGTCCATCTCAGAGAATAATGATAATTATCGTGATTCATATATGTTACATCAGTCTTTTCAGATTGCAGGACTTCAAATACATTTATAGATGCTTCTAAAAGAAGGTGTAACATGCCTTAATACATATATTAGGTCCCCAGAAAGATTTCTTGAAGTGCAGTGTTGATGCTTCAGATCCCTAAAGTTCAAGTCTTGGTTGTCCAAGAACAATTATAATGTTTAACCTCAACCACAGGCAAGGCACAACATGGCAACCTAATCTGCTCTGCCAAATATTATCTACTTCATAGATGGAAAATCACTGTTTGTAATTGAATAAGATGGAGAATCTGTGAAAGCCAGAGTGGGTTGCAGCTCCTTGGGACCTATCTGTTAAAAATCCTAGTCATTCTTTGTCAAATCTACCAATTTTACTCACACTGCTTTGTTAATGTGCCTCTTTTTCGTAAAATCAAAGTTTAATTGTACTAGCCTTGCAGCCCCTCTTGACACAACTGAATATCAATGTCTTAAGGGCCAGCATTAATAACGTGGGATACGCTGGTGTGCATCAGTACTTTGGGCACTGAAGAACTGTGGATGACTGCTGTTAAGTGGTTCATGAATCACTCATAACAATGCAGTGATATTGTCAGAAAGACATTTTGTGCCACGTCTGTGGAAGTAGATTAAGGATGAAGATTATTAGATCTCTTATTTGTATTCAGATTATCAGAAAGACTGATGTCACATTCATTTCTGTTTCAAAGAAAGCTACCACACCGATACCTGATACTACAGGAATTTTTTCTCCTTGGCTCAAGTCTCCCAAAATTTATCCAGTGACACTGGTTTTTTTAATTGAAATAAGTTAGAAATCTAAAAGAAAGCTTTTTCAAACTCAGGAACTAACTGAAAAATACAGAGGGAAGCATTATGATTTGGGAAGAAATGAAAAAGGATATGCTGTGAACCAAAAATAATTGGTTGAACTTCTAGCCTGCCATTCTCTTTGACAGTTTTAAGCACCTGAGTGATTTAGTATTGTTGAGTTTTTGCTGCTTTTATCCTGAGAAGCAAAGTTTAAGTGTGAATCTTGAAGACCTAGCTTCTGAGAAGAGGAGAGTTTTGGGTAAGTAACTTTCTCATATTGCCTTGTTACCTTTTGGTTAGTGGTATTCATTTCTTTAATTACACCACCAAAGATTTATAGGTGTAAATGAAGATATTTTTTCTTTAGGCATAATTTTTGTTTCCACATTAGTGGTTTTGTCTGTGACTCTGTGTTTCTAATTTAGGACTTTTTTCCATAGAACAGAATACATATATTTTTCCTGTTTCACTAGTTCTTCTTCTCCTTAGGTTGGAAAGGACCTTTAGGATCATCAAGTCGAACTGTTAACCAAACACTGTCAAGTCCACCACAATCCTAAATCCTTCTAGTCTGTGGTACTTGTGTGCATAAATGACTGTCATTTTTTAGATACCAATTAAGTGATCCTCAGAATGTTGTACAATTAAGAGCTTAACTTTTCAAATATCAAGAAAGACAGAAACCTTAGTTTTGAAAGGTAATCAATGTCTCTGGCATAATAGTGCATGATCATCATCAAAGCACTTCTTACAATAAGAAATATAATGCTTTATATAGCCTCAACAAATAGTCACAGACTAAATACTTAAACCCCAATATCCACTCAATGATGTCAAGTCTCAGTGGTTTTCAAGGGAACACACAGAAAACTGCTTGGTTGTCTGGAAAGGCATCTCTTGAAAATTTTTCTGGACCTAAGACTCCTATGAACAATATTTTGAAAGTAGAACCTACTTTTAAGGCCTCCACTAAAAAGAATCATTATAAATTTAGTGTGAAAACATGGCTCACGAGAGCCGAGGCCACTCTAAATGTTTATAAACTTCTTTAAATGTATGGAATATGTAAAAAGCATTTAAAATATAAGGCCAAGAGAAACTAACAGCCTGCTTTCAGTAAGGAGTTATTATAGTCTTCCAGTTTCTATTTACTCTGTTAGATAAGAGCTCATGAATAATACCAAACGCCTATTGGTATATCTAGGCTATGCCAGCTCAGAGGCTCTGTGTTCACCAGAAATATACTTTTGATCGCCTGTTCATCTAGGCATTTGCCGCTAGAATTTGAGCATTTTCACAAGAAAAACACTTCCGTGTATTGTAATGTATTTTTGCCATTCCTGCACTCCTTTATGCATCTTGTGCTGCTCTCAGCTGAGTAAAGGGTGAGCACCCTTGTTTTCCTTTAGGAGGAATTCAGGAAAGGCTGCTTTGAACTATCACCACTCAAGTGATTTTTTTTTGCCTTATGCAGTGGCTGGGTTCTGGTCTAAGTGTGTGCTTCATCAATAAGCTAGTCCAGTCTTACTCATCTTAAAACTAACTTGGAAGACTTTTCTTTCTGTTTGCATGGAAAAAAATGTAGTTTCACTATGTTTCAGAAGGGAGCCTTGAGTTAATTGCATGGGAAAGATGTAGTCTAAATAATCATAGTCTGATAAAATGGAAAATGCATTCAATACTCATCGAATATGAGATTTGTGAGAGATATTATCAGAATATTGTCAGTGAACATTATAAGCTAAAGACATATGTGAATAAACTGCTGGTTCAGAATGAGAAATGCCTTTGTGCTAATGGTCTAATGTAGTACAGAATATCAGTGTTTAGAGATTAGTACTTTGCTGTCTGATTCTTTCACTTATTCAGCAGTAATGTATACACATTCATGTCTTACTTCCTTCTCATTTATGGGGCATACTGTGCCTTGCTTTTATAGACAGTAGAAAATTAAATGCTTCAGAATTGGAGTAAGCTGTAACTGTGAGGAATGGAGAACTGAATTTTAGTACCTAATCTGCCTCTTAGAGCCATCTAAAGTTTGGCCACTGTTTTTAATTTAGTTTGCTGAACATGGGGCTTTGTGTCCATGGCATTCTGTCTTAAATTGATGCAACAGAATCACAGTCTTGCAGACGTCAGTGGAGAAAATCTTTATTTCCTTAGTCTAGTACATGAAATACAAAACTTGAATATGACTTCTAGCAAGGACAAAAGCGAAAGACTTAAAAGAGTCATCCAGTTTCTAATGAATACATGAGACAAGCTTCACAGTCACGCTCTGACCTCTGTAGACTGATAAAATGAAGTATGACAGTTACTATTTTGGTCTAGCATTCCTTGATTCTCCAGACTAGTGACTAGATGCTCACTTATAACTGGGTTAACTGGGAGTGGCCTTCTTCACAAATCCATGGTGGTGCTCTCATTCATAACTCTGGAGCTGTAGCAAGTTCAGTGTTTCTTTTATTTCAGAGCAGGATGGAGGATGCGTGCACTTCTTAAGATCAGTGATTAGAGTGACCTTAGAATGTAGCAAAGTGAAAACTTATTCATATGCTTTCTTTCCTAGATAAAGTGTAATCTGTTTAACATTTTTTATGTCATTTTAGACCCACCTTGCCAGACAGAGCTCAGCAACATTCAGAAACAGCAAGGAGGAAAGAAGCTCCTAGGTGAGCCATAGATCATTCTTTTGAAGGTTTTATTGCTTACATAAATAACCCTAGTGAAACAGCAACATAAAATCAATATTAATCCAACAAAGATAGGCCACAGTAAATTCCAGGAACAAAATTTATGAAGTTTTTGAAAGCTACTAAACTTAGTTTTATTACCTTACCTACCAGAAGATATTATACCTATTTTATTACCCTAATAGAAGGTACATTTTTACAGTTATAGAGGGGACAGTCTGAGGCACTCCTAAATTAGTATCTCTGATGATCCTTTACCTGTAATATTCTTAAAGTAATTGAAATCTTTGTTGTGAATCAGTTTATTCTCTAGCAATATTACTGAAATGTAAAATCTTCATTTTACCATATAAAAGTGCAATGAAAGGCTTGGTCCAATGTAATCAAAACTGTAGTTGTGCTAAGTACGGTTTATAACCACAACTATACACTTGAAAATACTTTCATATGAATGTTTTGTTCATGATGGTTATCTACATTTTATGTTTCTTTCAAAAAATCTGTTTGTTCTAAGTAGAAAGCAGTGGATTGTTCAGCCTTAGGCATGTCACTGCCTCACAAAATAAGTCCCTGATTTTATCTCCTTTAGTGTTGATGGGGAACCCTTTTGGCTTAAAGCCTAATTTGTCTAGGTATTTTGCATATAAATGCAGATTTAACTATCTTTTTTAATACATACTGTTAATCATATTGGTGCATTACACTGCATTTGTCTTCTGTGGTGAGGTAATTAAATATTAGTGGGTAACTAAATGGATTGTAAAACATATATTAAATAAAAATAGCTCCTAAGCCTTGTAGTAGATAGTTTGTTAGTCCAAGAGGCCTGGCCCTTATTATTCAGACTTATTTGTACTCCACAGATATAGAACATCCCATTTAGGGTTGGGTGCTACGCTAGAGCCTTTTCCCCAGAATACAAAAAAGATCTTAACTGAGATAACTCAGAGAGTGAGGAATATGTATCACAGGATCAATGAAAAATTTAAAGGGAGATTGATCACTTTATTTCTTGAAATCAGTCCAATAATGATACATGTTATTTTCCCTCCCACATTTGATATTTTCAGTCACTTTCTGCTTAAGTGCACTTTTTAATGGAAAGTAAACCAGTCAGCGTAGAGTCTGGATTCAGCAAAAGGTGGTTATTTTCTGCTATAATTACTACAGTGACCAAGAGGGAGTTTTTAATGTTCTTATTCAATATTTACGTATCACAGGACAATACATCCCTTTATGTGATGAAGATGGGTATTACAAACCAAGTCAGTGCCATGGAAGCGTAGGGCAGTGCTGGTGTGTTGATAGATACGGTAATGAGGTAACAGGATCCAGAACAAACGGTGTGGCAGAATGTGGTAAGTGAATAACCCTTGGTGGCATTTGATTTAGAGATGTTATTCCCTTTGATTACCAGCCAGATGATTTTTTTTCTTTTTTGTAAAAACAGATGTGGAACCCAACTGTATGGATTTTGAAGTAAATTTTAATTTCTTATTGTTATTACTTGATTATTTTTTTGCAACTCCTATCATTATGTCAGCTATTAATCGAGCTCATATATGTGCTTGGCATAGTATATGAAAACCTTGGAAAAATTAATTATCTAGAGCAGCATTAGACAAGCCTCAAAATGCTTGATGAAATCCCTTTGGGTAATCAGCATGCTAGTGAATTCAGTTTGACATTTTTTCCAGTTTATGTTTGAGAGAATTGCCGAAAGTTCCTAGAACACTAAATCTTCCCTTATTTTTCCCTTCCCTGCAGCACTCTGGAACTGCTTCCAAGAATTCCTATGTCACCTTTATTTGTTGTCCCATTTTATTAAAAATGGCAATTAAATATTTTATTTAAAAAAAAAAATAAGTCTTACATTACTCCTTTCCCCTTTTTTTTGCAACAAAAGAACATACCCTGAAAGGGTAAATTAAACACAGTATTTACGTACAAACTCAGACTTACTGTCTATCTAAATGGACAGTTCTAGATAGTTTAAGATAATATTGAAGAACAGAACAATGGATAGTGTGTATTATCAGTAGTCCTTGTTGTGATCTGTAAAGTTGGACTTAAAACTCTTTCATAGTTGTTTCTGGCACTCGTCACCCATAACATATTGTCTCCCTTTGTTCACATTGAGAAATTAATCCTGATTAAAATGGTTTTCTTTTAAGACTAAAGATTTTTGGTATTATTTATGTTTTATTTGTGTGTCACACTGTGTAGTTTAAAATAAGTAATTGTCCTTAAACTGAATACTCTGATGTGCCTTTTGTATGCTTATATATATTAAATTATAAATAAGTAGTGTATCTTGTGTATCTTTTCTATAAATATAATCCCTTTTTAGCTATCGATTTAGAGACCTCAGGTGATTTTGCCTCTGGTGATTTCCACGAATGGACAGATGATGAAGATGATGAAGATGAAATAATGAATGATGAAGACGAAATTGAAGATGATGATGAAGACGAAGGAGATGATGATGATGATGATGATGATGATCACGATGGATATATTTGAAGATATTGGATGGTCCATGAATTGTACCTTTCTAAAATTCACAAGATGACATTTCATAAAATCCCTTTGCTCTCCAAGATCAAAAGGATTCTAACAAACATGTATATTTTGTATGATTATTTCAAACATTGCAACTGGAGTCATAGACTTTTTTTGTTTAAATAAGAATAATTATATTATGTGCTTTTGAGTTTTTAAATGCCTTTGTGCTGAAGAAAACACACTGGAAGTCTAGCCTGAAGAAGCAATGTTATGTGCTACCGAAAATATAAATGAACAAAACACAAAATAAAGACAACCAGTCTCTCTAGAACTCCGGTGAAAAGATATTTGCCCTTAGTTGGAACTGTGCATGTCCTCTTCAGAACACATACTGTAACTTAACTTTAGTTCTCGACCCTTTGGGCTTTGCAAATTATTCATGTAGTAAATCAAAAATGTATTACAGCAGAAGATCTTTGGTGCATAAGTAGGATCTCACCAGCCTTTAATTAACCAAAGGCATGGAGAAGAATTATCAAGAGGGAAAAATAAAGCAAAGTCCTCCTTTGTGTTCACATTTGTAGTTATGTTTTTCCTTTAGAAAATTGATAGGTTATTGAAAGGGTTTTTCAAAAGCAGTAGCACAGAAAAGCACCAATTCTGTAATTCTGAAGTTTTCTTGTCCTTCCTTAATTCTTTTTTCTTTCATGTCAAGTTCATATAGGCTTTATCATTATTTACTCAAACATTGCTTAACCCTTTGTTGTTTCTGTGTGTTTCTCTCTCATCAGATTAGCATAAAATATTTTACATGGGGAAAATAAATTGCATAAAATTGTATTACCTTTATTCATGGCTGTATTTCAGAGTATTGGCACTTGCCCCAAGGTAGTTTTTAATAAATGTATAATGATACTTTTTATTTTCTTAATTCAGTAAATAGTTTTGCATCTTTATCTTAGTTAATGTTATTTTCTGTTACTAGTGCAGAAACTTAGGGAACGTATTGTAAAGGTGCCTTGCAAAATAGAAATAGAGAGGTTTTAGCATGCATACCAGTATAGGATGTTAGGCAATAGCTAAGCACACCCAATTACCAAATTAATACCAGTATAGGTATTGCTGCTGGAATGAAGAAAATGGGTTATTTTAATTTTTTTCCTATTCTTACGTAATTATCATGTGGACTAGATTATAATTATTGTGTAGAGTAGCCCTTAAGATTTGACTGTAGAGAAAATGACTTTAATTACTGTATTTATGTTAGCATGTTAATTAATTGTGTAGACATTCTGGGACTCCACCATCTTTGTTCATATCGTATCTGTTGCTTTCTGCCCACAATAAAATTGACGTGACCTGTATAATGTAATACCACAGGTTGTATAATTTTAAAATTGGATCACTGGTTTCCTGTAATTAATTAAAAGGAAAATCAGTTTATAATTTGAATTAATTTCTACACATTAAATACTAAATTTAATGTTTATCCTATGTAATATTGAAAAGTATAATGCATTTTCTTTTTTACTGTTTCTGTATAGTTTGCAAAATAAAGACCCTTGTAATCAACCTTTGGCCAGTATAGCCCATCATTTTGACTTTTTGCATAGTTTGAAATTTTGAAACATGAAGAATTCATGTTTCAGATACATTTCACCTATTAAAATATGTATTTATTTGTATAAAGCCATTAATTGTTTTATTTTCAACAAAGAATTCTTATCTAAGGCAAAACCCATGGGGAGCTTTTATTGTTCTGTTATTTTTTTCCTGAATTTTCTATAGCTTTGTTATGTACTTTTATGACATTGTCTTCGTTTCATAGTAAGGAAAGAGAGAGATACTTCTTTTCAAACTCTTGTCATACTTTGTGGGGCATAATTGTATTATTTTCTTAAATAAATGTAGTTAAGAGTTTACCATTCCAGTATAGTGGGATTTTATCAGAGAACAGTTTCTTATGGCTAAAATTAACTGATATATAAATGGATTTTAAATAAAGAAGTTAAAGAAAACATGTTGTCATCATTGGCTGATGTAGCAAGTACTGTTGTGTTGGTTTTTCTGATATGACAAATACTTATTAGATTACAAACTAAAAACTTATTTAATTCAAACTTGTGATATTAGGAGAATTAATGTATGGACAGATAATTCATGATTTACAATCCTAATGGGATTACAGTATGAAGACCATTCTAAAATGAACTGCCATGCAGAAGAGCACAAAATAAGTTTATATACTTTCTTTCCAGAAATTTCCCCACTGAACTGGAAGAAGAAGGAATAAGCATGGACTTTAGTCCCTGAATATCAAAGCTACCTATCATAAAGTCATAAGTAAGTCGAGATAGCTATATTTACTAAAGAACAATGGCAATGGTGATTCAGGGGCATTTTGGAGAATTTCTGTGGTCCAAAACTAAAACAGCAGCAGCAAACACTTGAATTGTGTCTCATTTGTGAGGAAAAGACAGAGGAGAGATTGATAGTGTGAGACGTCCTTTGATAATATTCTTCCTTAAAAAAAATAGGTAAATTTGTCTATGGATTAATGTTGTGGTGTCACTTTGCTTTTATGATACCAAATGAAGTGGAAACTACTTCACTGCATCATTAAAGAAATGCATGAAATACGAAGCAGATAGAAAAAATAAAGGCAAAGACTGATCATATAAAATCACGAAATAACTACACCGTTCAGAAGCTTTTTGCTTTAGGAAGGAAAGCAGAAAGGAGCTCCCTTCTTTAGCAGTAGGGAGCCCTCGATTTTAAAACTTCATTATTTTTACAGTGTCTCTGTCATTTGTTGTTGTTTCTTCTTGATCTTATAATTGTGCACATATGTATGTACTTATAAGTATGCAAAGATGCTGATACAAATTTGGAGAGTTTCAGACACAGTGATTAATCCTTGTGCTTTTCTTGAGAATGTGTGGGATTATAATTCTCACATTCATTGAAAAGTAAGGAATACCAAGTTCAGTTAAATAAATTCTTATATAATCTTTGAAGGGAATATTTCAGGTCAAGCCACATAGGTATGCTTAGTTTAAAAGCAAAAGAATTACCATGATTAGTTTTCTTGTACAAAAACCGGATTATTGTACAAGACCAAGGAAGATGGACCACAATGATTGTAGGAAAAATTTTGCTTGTTTTGTGCACATGGACAAAAGCTGGATTTTTTAAATTATTATTATTGAAGAATCCAGTGACCAGGTGGAATAATAAAAGTTTATCAGAAACTGGATTAATTTTATGCTTCATAGGAAATATAAAGTATCTGAATTTACAGGGTTTCTTCATTAGAACAGTGTATGTATTTGTAATTACTAAAAACTTTAAAAAATTGGATTTAAACAGAGCTGTGGCAGCACAAATTTATTTTAAATCCATAATTCTTTTTACTGTTTTTCCACTAATCTAAATATATCAGTAGCAAATCATTCACCATTTCATTTCAACTAGTTCAGTGGACATTAAGTAGTTTGTCACCAAGTTTCTGTTTGAAGAAATAAGAGATAAACATTAAAAATAATATCATGGATTGGAAGAATCTCCATCTTAACTAGTTATCACTGGGTAAGTAATTAAAATTAAAATATCAAAAGTTTTAAAAATCTCAACCTTCTCCTGAATGCAAGAACTATATTGGGCATGTTGAAGTTATAGAGTAACCCTTTGTCAGAAGTAGATCTCTGCTACCCCAGAGTCATTGTACTGTTGTGCAGAATGCGTGCAGTTTGTTAATGTGTTAATTAGGAAATCAAATGTTGAGTAGGGTTGCTTCCTTCAACAGTACCAACTCTAGGCTCTGTCCCTAGAAATCTTGACAGCATGTAGGAAGGAGGCTCCTTTGAAGGCACAGCAGCTTAAAATACATGGTTTAAATAAGGCTAATTACTCTTGGTAACTTTTTAAAGAAAATGTACCGACAGTTTTAATTTATGCCTTGAAAATGTACCTGAATGTAATCTTTGCTCATGGGAAGATTTTATTAGCTTAAAAAAAAAAAAAAGTAGTATTGCTGTAAATAAGGCAAACTCAAAGGAAAGGAAGACAAGAGAAAAACTAGAATGAGATGGTGTTGAGGTAGCACCTATGCATTTGAGTAGCTGACTGATACTCACTGAAATAAAAAAAAAAAAAAAGAGAATTCTGAGTTCATTGCTCATACTGCTCTTCCCCCTTATCATTTCCCCACACACATTTTTATTAGGCTATGTATCTTTATGGCATGTCATTCACATCAGAAATTACATGTGAGTGCTGAAATAAGTTCAGCTCCCATAGTGGTATCGTGGCACAAAGCATCTTTAGGCAATTGCACAGTTGACCAGGCTGGAGGCTGAGGACGTGTTACTGGCACATTAAAGAGCTCCTCGGAAGAAGTAGTTTATAGCAGGTGTTTGCCCAGATGTAATCACATCCATCCATTAGAAATGCTTGCCTGACTCAGTGCAGGGAATTCTCCAGAGTTGTTTATATAAATGGTAATTTGCTTAGATTCTGAAGCAAAAATGGAATAATGCTATTGAAAGTCGTCTATCTTGTCTATTAAGACAGCTTGGTTTTTACGTAGTAGAAATTGCATTGCTGTTTTATATCTCTACATAGTAATTTTCATTTGAAACAGCAATACGGGTAGAAAAAGCATTGCTATCTAAGTAACTTTCCTGTATCAGTGTTGAAAAGATAAAAAGAAATGTCAGTGCTGGCACAAGGTACGTTTTAAGGGCAAACAGGTAATTAGACTCCCTAATTTACAGTTCACTGCTGTGATTCATAGATCTGACTTACACCAAAAGCAATAGCTGCCTGGTTAACTGTTCTGTGGCCATATTTAGATTTCAATTATTATGAGAAAGTGAGTGAAAGAACCTCGTTTTTTCCCCCTTTTCAAATCTGTAGTATGTGTATTACTGTTAATTAGAGGTCAATTTATCTTAAATTCACTCCCACTCCACTGCTTCTTGAATACTACATAACAATGGGATAAAAAAGGCCTGTTAATCTTCTACAGCGGGAGTAAAATGGCATAACATTTCTATTATTTGCTGCTGTTCAGGGGTAGGTCTTTTTCTTTCCTTGTGCAGGCAGGAACCTTGCCATGCAACCCCCATCTCTTTTGACACAACAGAGTGAATGTCATGATCCTGAGCAGTGCAGTGTTTGAGAAAGCATTACCAGAAA